TGGTTTCACAGGTCGGCGCAACATCGAGGGCCGAAGGGCCTGTACTGTGCTGTAATGTTCTATGTTCTATGTTCTATCAGTGACGTTCTTCTTGCATCTACCTTGTCTACTCCTGTTAGAATTGTATCGGTTTCTCTAAGGTTCCACCTCTGTCATTCTTCTGAAATACAGTCAGTATAATCCTAACCAATCCAGTCTCTCCTCATACATCAGCCCTGCCATCCCATGGATGAATCTGGTAAACCTTTGCTGCATTTCCTCCGTAGCAAGAACACCCTTCCTCCAATAAAGAGACCAGATCTGTACACAACATTCTAGGTATGGTCTCAATAATGTCCTGTATAAGTGGAGCAAGATGTTCCTGCTCCAGTACTCAAACCCTGTCACCATGAAGGCCAATATATCAATTTGCTGCCTTGACTGACCACTTACTTTCTGTAACTGGTGTACCAGGACACTGAGCTCTTGTTGCACATTCCCCAGTTTCAGTTTATAACCATTTGGATAATTAGTTGCCTTCCTGTTATTGCTACCAAAGTCTATAAATTCACATTTATCCACGTGATAGAGCATCTGCCACTCATTAGCCCACTCCCTCAGCTTATCCAAATCACACTGCAACATCTTTGCATCCTCCTCACAGCTCACCCTTCCACCCAGCTTTGTGTTATCTGCAGATTTGGATATATTTTATTTAGTTCCCTCTTCTAAATCATTAGCGTACATTCCGAATAGCTGTGGTCCTAGTACTGGTGCCTGAGGTACCCCACTAGTCACTGCCTGCAGGCAATGGCCTAGGGGTATTATCACTGAACTGTTAATCCAGAGATCCAGATAATGTTCTGTGGACCCGGGTTCAAATCCTGCCACGGCAGATGGTGGAATTTGAATTTAATAAATACCTGGAATTAAGAATCTAATGATGACCAGGAATCCATTGCCAATTGTCAGGAAAAACCCATCTGGTTCACTAATCCCCTTTAGGGAAGGAAACTGCCATCCTTACCTGGTCTGGCCTACATGTGACTCCAGACCCACATCAATGTGGTTGACTCTTAGCTGCCTTCTGGGCAATTAGGGATGGGCAATAAATGCTGCCCAGCCAGCGACGCCCTCACCACATGAATGAATAAAGAAAAACTGCCATTCAGAAAAACACCCATTTATTCCCACTCCTTGTTTCCTGTTTTCTGCTAACCAGTTTTCTATCCAGCTCACTACACTATCCCCACACACTTTAATTTTATACATGAATCTTTGTGTGGGACTTTTTTGAAAGCTTTCTGAAACCATATCTATTAGCTTGCCCACATCAATTCTACAAGTCACATCTCAGAAGAATTCCAGTAAATTAGTCAAGCGTGATTTCTCCCTCAGAAATTCATGCTGACTCTGTCTGATCCTGTAACTGTTATCCAACTGCTCTGCTATGAAATGTTCTTTTTAAGTACTCTGAGATATAGATCATCAAGCCCTGGGGATTTATCGGCCCTTAATCCCATCAATTTTTCCAACATCATTTCCTTACTAATATGGATTTCCTATAGTCGTCCCTATTACTAAGCCCTGTGGTCCACAACATTTCTGCTAGGCTGTTTGTGCCCACCTTTTTGAACACAAAACCAAAATATATATTTAGTTGGTCAGCCCATTCTTTGTTCCCCTTTATAATCTATATCAGTGATTTGAATGAGGGGACAAGATGTAGGTGGGAAAGGAAAGTCAGTTGGTTATTTAGAGGAAATAGAGAGTTTGCAAAGGGATGTAAAAGGGTAAATGTCAGGGCAAATATTCGGCGGATGGAATATAAATGGGGAAATCTGCATTTGTCCATTTTAGCAAGAAGAACGAGAAGATAGCCACATTATTCACTCAGAGTGAGGGTGTCACTGGTTAGGCCAGTATTTATTGCTCATCCCTAATTGCCCTGAGGCAGTTGAGAGTCCACCGCATTGCTGTGGGTCTGGAGTCACATGTAGGCCAGACCAGGTAAAGATGGCAGTTTCCTTCCCTAAAGGACATTAGTGAACCAGATGGGTTTTTCCCAACAATCGACAATGGTTTCATGGTTATCATTAGATTCTGAATTCCAGATATTTGTCAAATTCAAATTCCACCATCTGCCGTAGTCGGATTTAATCACAGACAGAATTACAGAATCCCTACAGTGTGGAAACAGGCCATTTGGCCCAACAAGTCCACACCAACCCTCCAAAGAGCATTCTACCCAGACCCATTTCCCCCTCCCCTGCATTTCCCATGTCTAACCCACCTAACCTAAACATCCCTGAACACAATGGGCAATTTAGCGCGGCCAATCCACCTAACTTCCACATCTTTGGACAGTGGGAGGAAACTGGAGCACCCGGAGGATACCCACGCAGATACGGGGAGAATATGCAAACCCCCCACACAGACAGTCGCCTGAGGATGGAATCGAACCTGGGTCCCTGGCACGTGAGGCAGCAGTGCTAACTGCTGAACCACCGTGCCACCCCAATGTTGTACGCAGATAGAGCAAATGATTGAGAAAGCAAATGGAATATTGTTATTTTTTTGCAGGAAGAATGGAATATAACAGAAGGGAAGTCTTTTGCAGCTATTCAGGGCCTTGGTGAGACCACATAATTTTGATCTCTGTTGCTGTGCTACTGTGTTGTTTGACTGGTCTGTGAAACAAGTCTCCCAATTTTGGCAGAGCCCCCAGTTGTTTTGATAAGGAAGACTTTGCAAGGTTCCAGTGCCTAGGTCAATGTTCAGTTGTTAGTTTACTTCCATTTCTTTGTGATTTCTTTCCATTGCACATTCTGAAGAAGAGTAACTCGAAACATTTAATCTACTTTCTCTCCACAGATACTGCCAGACCTGTAGCGTTTCTCCCGCAATTTTTGTTTTTGTTTGTTACAGGTCTCCAGCATCCACAGCTTTGTTTTATTCATTCCTTTGAAATGTTGTAATGGTTTGATTGAAAGAAGTAGTTTGTTCAGCCATTTACAGAAGGTAGTTAAGAAACAACCAGATGGCTGTGGGTCTGGATTTAAATGCAAACTTCCCTAAAAGCTATAAGTGAAACAGATTTGTGACAAACAACAATGGTTTCTTGGTCTCTGTGAAACTGGTGTTTAATTTCACCATTTTCATTGAATTCAAATTTCACCATCTGCTGTACTGGGATTTGAACCCAGATCCCCAGAACTTTAGCCTGGGGTTGTAAATGACCAGTATAACGACAGTACTACGATGCTAATAGGTTTGAATGGACAGATTGTGCCCCCCACGCGCCCCCCCACCCCATATATTGTGGGTGGGCTGGTGGGAACAATAAAATGTTAGGCTGAAAGGTTTGGTATGAGTACTTTGTAGAAGTGGTGCTAGCTGGAAGAGTCCTTAGCGTGTTTTGATTTCAGTCATCACTGCTGTGAGAGATCCTGCAGTGTCCTTCACAATGCAGAGAAGGCAAGTCCCACAAGGTCAGCCCTTTTCCACAAAAAGGCGAATCCAATGCTGAATACTAACATGAACATTCAGTCAAATGTGAACAAAAAAATAGCCTCTTCAGCAATTATGCAAATGTCCCTAACTCAGATGTAACCATCAATGCACATGAATCACAAGGCACCAGGATATTTACCTCGCTGACTGATCAATTCTTACAAATAACCACATTGTACAGAAGAATAAAATGACTGCAGCCAAGCATGATGTTTCAGTTTGGAAAACACTGGTGCCATCATTGTGTTCTGCAGTGGTAACAGTGTGTGTGTGTATGTGAATTTGTGGGCGCGGGGCGGGGGGGAATGCGGTTGGGGGGCAGGGATGTAGAGCCTTCCCATTTGACTATAAGATTAACAGCCAACCAGCAGTTGCAGTGTTGCCAGATGCCTGCAGGTTTCTCCACTGAAATGCTTCCCCACCCTCTGATCATGTGTCTCACCACAGCATTGCCAGGAGAGTCACAGAGCTGTACAGCACGGAAGCAGACCCTTCGGTCCAACTCGTCCATGCCAACCAGATATCCTAAATTCATCTAGTCCCATATGACAGCATTTGGCCTGTATCTCTTAAACCCTTCCTATTCATATACCCTTCCAGATGCCTTTTAAATGTTGTAATTGTGTCAGCCTCCACCACTTCCTCTGGGCAGCTCATCCCATACACGTTAAAAGCAACCCATGTCATAACAGGACTGGGTGTGGGGAGGGTAAAAAAACACATAGAAAGATGGAATCAGGCTCTAAAGTTATTGAACGTTATGGACTTCAGTAAGACGTTCAACAAGGTTCTGCACAGTAGACTGGTTAGCAAAGTTAGATCACGCAGAATAGAGGGAGAGCTAGCCATTTAGATACAAAATTTCCTCAAAGATAGCAGACAGAGAGTGGTGAGTCATAGAGTCCTACAGCACAGGGACAGGTCCTTCGGCCCAAACTGGTCCATGCTGACCAAAATGTCCATCCACGCTAACCCCGTTTCCCTGCACTTGGCCCATATCCTTCTAAATCTTTCCTAACCATGTATTCGTCCAAATGTCTTTTAAATGTTGTTAATGTACCCGTCTCAACCACTTCCACTGGCAGCTCATTCCATATGCATACTACCCTCTGTGTAAAAAAATTGCCCCTCAGGTTCCCATGTATTCTTTCCCCTCTTGCCTTAAACTGATGCCCTCTAGTCCTCGATTCTCCAACACTGTGAAAAAGACTGAGTGCATTCATCCTATCCGTGCCTGTCATGATTTTTATATGCTTCTATAAAATCCACCCTTAGCCTCTTACACTCTAAAGAAAACAGTCCCATCCTCTCCCTATAACTAAGTCCCTTGATTCCTGGCAACATCCCTGTAAATTTCTTCTACATTCTTTCCAGTTTAATAACATCCTTCCTATAGCAGGTGACCAAAACTGAACACAATACTCCAAGTGTAGCCTCACCAACGTCCTGTACAACTGCAACATAACTTCCCAACTTCTATACTCAATCCCCTGACTGATGAAGACCAGTGTGCCAAAAGCCACCTTCAGTGCCCTGCCTATGTGTGAATCCACTTTCAGAGAACCATGCACCTGAACTCCAAGGTCCCTCTGTTCCACTGCACTCTTATGGCCCTACCATTCATCATGAAACTCCTACCTTGATTTGACTTTCCAAAATGCAAAATTCTGAAGAAGGGCCTAGCCCCGAAACGTCAGCCTTCCTGCTCCTCTGATGCTGCTTGGCCTGCTGTGTTCATCCAGCTCTACACCTTGTTACCTCACACTTATCTGTATTAAACTCTATTTGCCATTTCTCAGCCCACTTCCCCAGCTGATCAAGATCCTGCTGCAATTTCTGATAACCTTCCTCACTGTCCATGATACCACCTATCTTAGTGTCATCGGCAAACTTACCAATTATGCCTTGTACATTTTCATCCAAATCATTGACGTAGATAACAAACAGCAATGGGCCCAGCACCGACTCCTGAGGCACATCACTAGTCACAGGCCTCCAGTCCAACAAACACCCTTCCACTATTACTCTCTGCTTTGTACCATCAAGCCAATTGTGTATCCAATTTGCCAGCTGTCCCTGGGTTCCATGCAATCTAACCTTCCAGAGCAGCCTACCAGGTGGAATCTTATCAAAGGCCTTACTGAAATCCACGTAGACTATATCTACCACCCTGCCCTCATCAACCTTCCTGGTCACTTCGCCAAAGAACTCTAACAAATTCATAAAGCATGATCTCCCACACTGGAAGCCATGCTGACTACTCCTAATCAAACCCTGTCTTTCCAAACGCGCATATATTTTATCCTTCTGAATCTTCTCAAGTAACTTACGTGCCATCAATGTTAAGCTCACTGGTCTATAATTCCCAGATTTTTCTTTGCAGTTCTTCTTGAATAAGGGCACAACATTCCCTACCCTCCAGTCTTCCAGGACTTTACCCGTGGCTAGCGATGATATAAATATATCGGCCAGGGCTCCCTCAATTTCTTCCCTAGCCTCTTGCAAGGTTCTTTGATATATCTGGTCAGGACCAGGAGTTTTATCCAACTTCATACATTCTAATACTTCCAACACCACCTCTACTGTGATATGGACTGTCCCCAAGATATCACCACTAACTTCCCCAAGTTCCCAAGTTTTCATGTCTTTCTCCACGATAAACACAGAGGAGAAATATTCATTGAGGACCATCCCTATCTCCTGGAGTTCCACACATAATGTTCACTTTGGTCTTTAAGAGGTCGTGTTCTCTCTCTGTAGTTATTCTTTTTCCTTTAATATACTTAAAGAATCTCTTAGATTCATTCTAATCTTCTCAGCCAAAGCTATCTCATGCCCCCTTTTCGCCCTCCTGATTTCCTTCTTCAGTAAACTCCTGTATCCCCCTATATACCTCCAGAGATTCCTTTGATCCAGTTGCTTGCTCCTGGGCCATGTCTCCTTTTATTTTGGTCAAAAGTGAAAGAAGCCTATCGTCTCTGGCGGTGGTGGAGGGTTAGAACAAAGAACAAAGAAAATTACAGCACAGGAACAGGCCCTTCAGCCCTCCAGGTCTGCGCCAATCCAGATCCTCTATCTAAACCTGTCGCCTATTTTCCAAGGATCTGTATCCCTCTGCTCCCTGCCCATTCATGTATCTGTCTAGATACATCTTAAATGACACTATCATGTCCGCCTCTACCACCTCCGCTGGCAACACGTTCCAGGCACCCACGACCCTCTGCGTAAAGAACTTTCCAGGCATATCTCCCTTAAACTTTTCCCCCCTCGCCTTGAAATTGTGACCCCTAGTAAGTGAGTCCCCCACTCTTGCTATCCACCCTGTCTATACCTGTCATGATTATGAGACCTCAATCAGGTCCCCCCTCAACCTCCATCTTTCTAATGTAAATAATCCTAATCTACTCAACCTCTCTTCATAGCTAGCGCCCTCCATACCAGGCAACATCCTGGTGAACCTCCTCTGCACCCTCTGCAAACCATCCACATCCTTTGGGTAATGTGGCGACCAGAACTCTACGCAGTATTCCAAATGTGGTCGAACCAAAGTCCTATACAACTGTAACATGAGCATGGTTGTTTCTCAGACTGGAGGCCTGTGACCAAAGATCGGAGCGGCGTCCATACTTTTTGTCATTTATGTAAATGATTTGGATGTGAATTTAGGAGGTATGGTTAGTAAGTTTGCCAAAATTCATGGGGTAGTGGGCTGCCAAGAAGGTTACCTCAGAGTACAATGGGATCTTGATCAGATGGGCCAATGAGCTGAGGAGTGGCAGATGGAGTTTAATTTAGATAAATGTGAGGTTCTGCATTTTGGAAAGGCAAATCAGGGCAGGGCTTATACGCTCAGTGGTAAAGTCCTGGGGAGTGTTATTGAACAAAGGGACCTTGGAGTGTAGGTTCATAGTTCCTTGAAAGTGGAGTCGCAGGTAGATAGGATAGTGAAGAAGGCATTCAGTACGCTTGCTTTTATTGGTCAGTGCATTGAGTATAGTAGTTGGGAGGTCATGTTGCAGCTATATAGGATATTGGTTAGGCCACTTTTGGAATACTGTGTGCAATTCTGGTCTCCCTGCTATCGGAAATATCTTGTGAAACTTGAAAGGGTTCAGAAAAGATTTACAAGGACGTTGCCAGAGTTGGAGGATTTGAGCTACAGGGAGAGGATGGATAGACTGGGGTTATATTCCCTGGAGCATCGGAGGCTGAGGGATGACCTTTTCAAGGTTTATAAAATCATGAGGGGCATGGATAGAGTGAATAGTTAAGGTCTTTTTCCCAGGGTAGGAGTCCAAAATTAGTAGGCCTATGTTTAAGGTGAGAGGGGAAAGATTTAAAAGGGGCCTAAGGGGCAACTTTTCATGCAGAGGGTGGTGCGTGTCTGGAATGAGCTGCCAGAGCAAGTAGTGGAAGCTGGTACAATTACAACTTTTAAAAGACATCTGGATGAGTACATAAATAGGAAGGGTTTAGAGGGATATGGGTCTAATGCTGGCCGATGGGACTAGGTTAATTTAGGATATCCAGTCAGCATGGACGAGTTGGATCAAAGAGTCTGTTTCCATGCTGTACACGTCTTAGACTGTACGAGTCTAACCGATTGCTGAGTCCCAGCGGCTGCAGGATTCCTGAGCAGAAAGTGGGATGCTTGAGAAAATGAGACTATCACATGGAGACTGGGGTGCAGGGAGGTGACTTACCAGTTGTTGTAAGCTGTGATGTTAAGTAACCTGAATATCTAGTCACAGCTTATAACAACTACTTCACTGGACCGGAAACATTAACTCTGATTTTTTCTTCTCAGATGCTGCCAGACCTGCTGAGCTTTACCAGCAACTTCTGCTTTTGTAATTACTGAAGGAAAGATGGTTATCTTTAATCAGAGATAGTAGGAACTGCAGATGCTGGAGAATCTGAGATAACAAGGTGCAGGGCTGGATGAACACAGCAGCATCATAGGAGCAGGAAGGCTATCAGAGATAGTAGGAACTGCAGATGCTGGAGAATCTGAGATAACATCCTATGATGCTGCTTGGCCTGCTGTATTCATCCAGCTCTACACCTTGTTATCTCCTTAATTTAATGTGGATTTTGACTGCAGGGACCAGAGAGAGCAAGCTTCAGTGCTGGTGGAGGTCAATGCATTTCTCTCAGGTTGTTCAGTTACCTGCGAACCAATCAGACAGTTGTTAACAGACAAAAAGATTTTGTCATTGATAATCCCTAGACCAGTCACCTTTTAGTTGCCACCCAGATATAACTGTATCCCAGATATGCACAGTACCCCTCGGCTGCAAACAAGTTCACTTCCTGCTTCTACAAACAGTTATTAACATGAAGCTTGCTGTAACTGTCAGGTTCCTTGTTTTTCAAAGCATACAGCAATCTCTTAAAACACTTTTTAAAAAAACATTCTGTCCCATTTCAGCCGAAATACTTTTTAAAAGCACAAAAATAAAAAGACAAAGTCATTACAGGTTGCTAAGTTGAGATGTTGATTGGAACAGCCAGGTCTGGGGAGTAGCAATGGCCGTGGGTGGTATGGGCTGGGTTTGTTTCACACTCTGTAATCAGTTATTTTCTCTTTCAGTCCACCAAGACTACTGGTTCAAGTGGGACTTCACTCACACCGTCACCATCTGGTGGGGAGCCAAGCAGCAGTGAGCCCAGTACACCAGCACAGACTCCACTTGCCGCTCCAATCATCCCTACACCAGCTGGACTGCCCTCACCTCTGGCACCTCCCCTGCTCTCCCCCAGGGTGAGTAAGTATTGATGAATGGAGTTAATGCGACTGATACACAGTGATTTCTTCCTTTCCCAGCCACATTAAATCTGCCAGTGTCTCTAACAGGATTGCAGATACGGAGAATGGACACTAAAAATCCTTTGTGTGTGTGTGTTTGTGGCTGTAGTGAGGAGACTGCACCTACAACATCGGAACAGGAGGAGACCATTTAGCTCCTGAACTCTGTCCCACTAATCAGTGAGAATGTGGCAGGTCTCTGATTTAACTCCATGAAGCTTCCTTTGCCCCAAATCCATTCATAGCTTGGAATGACAGAGCACCCTGCTGACCATTAGTGACCCAGCCACCTCGACAGTCCATCTCACACCAGAGGTGGTGTTGGAAATATTAGAATGTATGAAGGTGAATAAATCTCCTGGTCCCGACCAGATATATCCAAGATCCCTGCAAGAGGCTAGGGAAGAAATTGCGGGGGCCCTGGCTGATACATTTGCATCATCGTTAGCCACAGGTGAGGTCCCGGAAGACTGGAGGGTAGTGAATGTTGGAGCGGGAGGGGGAGGATCCAGTTGTTGTGGTCCATGCCGGAACAAACAACATAGGCAAGACAGGGAAAGAGGACCTGTTCAGAGATTATCAGGAGCTAAGAACTAAATTAAAGAACAGGTCCTCAAGGGTTATAATTTCTGGATTACTGCCTGAGCCATGTGCTAATTGGCGTAGGGACATGACAATAAGGGAAGTAAACACATGGCTAAAAGAGTGGTGCGGGAAAGAGGGGTTCCTTTTCATGGGGCACTGGCATCAGCATTGGAACAGGAGGGATCTGTACCATTGGGACGGTCTCTACCTGAATCGAGCTGGGATCAATGTTCGAGCAAAAAGGGTAAATAGGCTGGTCAACAGGACTTTAAACTGGAAAGTGGGAGGGAAGGGAATAGTGATAATTGCCCCACTTGCCCCAGTGGGAAACAAAGCAGCAGGTTAACATCTGTAGTGGAGAATTCAACGAAGTGGAAAATTATGAAAGAAATGACAGGGAAGGAGAATTCAAGAGATGTTATCAAAGTCTTCAGCACAGATGCAAATAGGACAGAGTGTTTGGAAAAGGCTAGCAATCAAACACTGGAAAAACGAATGAAAATGAGAAGAGGGAGGGTTAATACAGGACTGAAGGTGTTATATCTGATGCACACAGTATAAGGAATAAGGTAAATGAGCTTGCGTTGCAGATTGAAACTGGCAGGCATGACGCGGTAGGCATCATGGGATGTGGCTGTAAGGGAATCAGGATTGGGAAATGAATATCCAAGGATATAAATCCTATCGAAAAGATAGGCAGGTGGGCCGAGGGGGTGGGGGTTGCCTTATTATTGAGAAATGAAGTTAAATCAGTAGGAAGAAACAAAGTAGGGTCAGATGGTGTAGAATCTGTGGGTAGAATTGACGAAGCGCAAAGGTAAAAATACCATAGTTGAGGTTGTGTACAGGCCTCCAAACAGTCGTCAGGAGCTGGAGCGCAAGATACACCAGGAG